TCCCCGCTGCTGGTCGACCTGGGGGACCACGTCGTTCGTGGGTTGGATCACCGTGAAGGCCTTTGTGAGCCTTGAGACGTCGAGGTCCCACTGATACTTCTGGAAGAGGAGGCCCGGAGGCGAAAAGCCGACTCCCTGGACGTTCACTTCCGTCGACACGGCGCCAACCAAGGCACCTCCCAGGCTGTGTCCGGTCATGATCAGGACCTGCTTGGCCTTTTGGGCCTCTTCCTTGTGCCTGTGCGCTGCTGCAGAGAGCCCCGCTTCCACCCGGAAACTTCGGCGAAGGCTCTTGCTGATGCCGCCGCTCGCGACTCTCTGAATGACTCCCTGTGGCATCAGGCTCAAGACGGGTGTCAGAATGCCCATGAACTGCAGCACCACAATTGAAGAATAGATCTGCAGGTTTGCATACGCATCGCGCAGGCTGGAAGTCCCCCTCACCGAGATAATACGAACGTTTCTAGATGGAATCGCAACAACGATCCATCTTCCGGTAGTGGTCCAGTGCTCTACCTCTAAAAGCTCCCAATCGGGAAAGGTGCCATTCAACATCTCGCCTAGACCCTCCCGCACGTCGTCCTCGAAACCAAATGAGCTCGCAAAGGCCAGGATGGAGAGATCCAGGATATTCAGGCCCTCCTTGCCCTCGCGGGCACCCCAGCTCGTTCGGCAGATGGGATAGCTTGGGCTTGGTGAGAAGTCGGAGGTCTCGAAGTTCAAGGGCAAGCTCGTGTCAAGGGTGAGCCGGGTGTCGTTGAATTTTGCAGACGCTGGTCCCCACACAAGCGGCTCCAAACGACTGGGGTCCGGCACGGCAGACTGCACGGTTCCGATGAGGAGGCTCGATGTCAGGGCTATGAAGAAGATCAGCGTGAACCAGAAAGCCTTCCCTAGCAGACGAGGTGCGTAGCTTCGAAGGGCCATCGCCCAAAGCAATAATGCCAAGAGCTCACCTATACAGATTGCATAAAGTCTGTGAAAGAAAAGGAAGAGTACCACCACCCCGATCTCGATGCAGAGACCCAGGCAAGCATAGCAACATGCTCGACCCCAGTGGTTGGGCTTGTCGAACAGCAAGGAGTGAGAATCAGTGCCATGGGCACGCTTGAAGCGCCCTATGGGGCCCATGTTGTGATAAAGCTCAGACATCAGTGCATCTCTCCAAGGGACATGTCCAACATGGATGTGGCAAATGATGTAGCTAAAGCAGACGCACAGTGCCCATATCAAGCCCCCCAGGCAGTATCCACGCCCAGCGTCCTTGTACCAGTATACCTGACCACGGAAGCACGCAAGCAAACGGTTCTTGGGCGACTCTGACGAACGCAGATCCAGGCTCCCTGGCCCTTTTGATGCCAGAAGCAGCACTACCAAACTAAACTGGATCGGCCTTGTGGGTGCTCGTTGCGAATTCGACGATGGCGACAGTAATAGGCACCAGCTCAAGAGTCAGCACCTGAAGCCGTCTGGGACGGAGCATGCCAGTACCGTGCAAACCGACTCATCTGCTCAGCTCTCTTTCTCCTCCTTCTTTGTATTGTGGTCCGTCCCGTCCCCGGTCGCGCGCCGCAAATGCTGCTCTCCTTCTCCCTCTCTCGCTCTCGCTGTCGCTCGCTCGCTGGGCACCGCGGCTCAAACAATTATCGCAAGTGAGGCTCTAGTTTTGATAAACATTAGCAGTGATGCCACCGCCATGGAGTGTTTGGACATTTCTGCCAAGAGCCCCCTGCAGGTGAGGGAACCACGGTCTACTAGGATGGCCCTCACGGACATCTGAACGCATGCACGCTCACACATACACACACACACGTCGAGTTTGCAATTCTGCCATGGCAAGCTTCAACGGCTGGGCCCTGGCACCAAGAGACGCTCCACACGATCAGTGTGGACCTGCCAGAGGCTCGCACGAGCTGACGATGCAACTTGCAAGCTGCCAGTGCCCCTGCCTGTCCAATGCCACGGAGCGACGCAGTGACCTGCAGAGAGGACAGGCATTGTTGAAGATTAGGAATTTCGTTATGGCTACAGTATACACGAAGACTACGGTACTAAAGACAAATTTAGGATAACTCGCTTCCAAAAACCCTGGATCCTGATCGAAACGGAGGGCGCCGGGTTCTTGTGAAACATGGGTCCTCCATGTGTGGTTGGGGAAGCATGTTACGAGTCACTAGTCTGTCGTGCAACGACAGGGGCGCTACATGCCCTTCCATGTTGGAATACAGATTCTCGCCGAAAGTGTGGGCATGTCGATCATTCCCCTGGCGAGTACCGACCTCCGGCTCGGTCATCAACTTTATCGCTGGGATGAACGACTTAAAGGCCAAAAACACTACGTCACTACACCAGCCCTCAAGATTTGAGCAAGGGTCCTGGACTGAAAAAACATGGGATCAACAAATCCATCTGTAGCACACGCAGACTGTCCCTGCATAACTGCACTGTTCGAGCATCTTTGCAGTAACGGTGCGTGACATTGCCGGCTGAGTTCTGGGCCGCTGCTCGAAACAGCCCAAAGGAAGGCTTGTCCGCGGCATCCAGACCCATGTCGATGCACTCATCCACATAAATCGCTGTGAGCAGCAAAGAAATTGGCCTCACAGGGAGTACGAGACCTTAACATTCGTAGGGGCACGTCATGCGCTTTCTTTGATGCCCTCTTTGGCACATCTTCCTCGGCCAGCTCCCCAGGACCCCATGCACTAGTGAGGCCCAATTTGGAACAGCTTGCCAACGACTTGGTGCCTACGTTACACTGGGCACACACACACAGACAACAGTGTCAAACACTGGTAGATTCATTGCGAGGTCTCGTATCCAAGGCCTTCGGTCGTTCAGATGGAACTTTCGAAAAAACTGTGCGGCCTGTTCTTGGAAACCTCATATGACTTGCCTAATTACGCGCCAAGCAGCGTAAGCAAGATTCCGACGACGATTCCAACACTAAGTCCGTCATCCTTGGGGGCTGCCATGATGAAGAAGAAGGTTTCCTGAGCATGACGCTTAAGCATAGGCTCCTGCAGTAGCTCCTTTTGGGGATTATCTTATAGGATTCTAAATATGAAACGCAAAAAGGAACGACTATGGAGCCTCTAGGTAAGCCTCAAGCCTTCAGAAGCTGTTTGGCATTGCGCTTCTTTAGATTCTTCCGCTTGGGTGAGATACGGGATACTCCATGAAACGAGCTGCTGCAGTAAATCCCAGTGCCAGCGCCATCACCACAGCCAGGGAAAAGAATATGTAGAACATGCCACGCAGCCGCACCGTGGTTTCGTACCAATGTCGATGCAAGCCTAAGCACAGTCAAAAGCCTGGAGTTGATCATGACTCCGATAACGATGGCCACGCATGGACCGGTGAGCTCAGACTCCACAATGCCGAGTTGCTGTCATCCGGGTGCATGAACCGCGAATCTTTCGAGCCGGCCTTCTGCAAATACTTGTTCCGGCCTTCCTCCACCTCTTCGATGGCAGGTTCTCCGGTTTGATCACTGCGAGACTCCAGGTCAGGTTCCAGGCTCTCCGCTGCGTAGCCCTGCTGCGACGGGGACATGGCAGTGGGCAACATGTTCTACTGGGCACCCCACGCCGAGCGTGGCGGAGGCGCAGGGACCACTCTGAGCAGCTAAGCTTGGAGTCGCCCAGAGGTGAAAGCATGACAGGGCCACTGCCCAGCTGCTCTTGGCTATGGTGTGCAAAAGATGGACAGTCTCCAGAGAGCACCTCTTTGGCCCGCCGTGCGGTCCTCTGTCCAAGCGATGTGTCCAATGCATCCTCACAAAATCTCACAAAATTCGCGGGGAAACGCTTCAAACCCCTGTGTCCACGCTACACGGTCTCACACAAAACATTTTTTCGGCCACGTGAGTCGTTTCCCCGGGATGTCGAAACGCCCAGAGGGCTGCAAGCAGTCTTCCATAGCAAACGAGTCGTCGAGTGAACCTAGCGAACCCAGTGTCTTGCAGCACAGCTTGTAGCCAAACGAGTTTTTCTTCAGGCCGACGAAATGCGCGATTCAAAGGAAGCGCTCTCAAAGCTTGAGGCTGTGCTGCACTAGTGCCAAGCACACAAGGCTCACATGGCGGCAGTGCTAACGCTGCTTTGCTGGCCTCAAGAACATGGGACTGCAAGCCACACGAAGCAAGTGTCAGCGATAGACAAGAAATAGGAACGGAGGCAGACAAGGAAGGGGGAGAGGGAGAGAGTGTGCGACGGAGAGAGACGGGGAGAGGGAGAGAGTGCGCGGGAGAGAGATACGGAGAGGGACGGAGAGAGAGGGACAGAGGCAGTGTCATCTAGAGACTGCCGTTTCCAACACGTTTCATGCATGTTCCAAGAAGACCAGCCTGCAATAACTTGCTCCTTCACATACCGCTACTCGCCCTGTCAATCGATTCCTCTCGAAGGGCTTCAACTTCAATCTCTGCTGGGGCGGACTGCCCGCCCTAAGTTTAGGGTTCTTTCCCATTCCCTTCCTCAAGGCTCGAGCTTTAAACTGTCTATGCAGGGAAGTCGTCATCGCCGAAGACGATCTCATCATCGTCATCGCCATCGTCCTGTACAAGGTGGCGAGACGGTGTTAAGTTGCGGGGTTCCTGTTCGAACTCAACGGCACCGTCAGTGTAGAAGTGTAGATAATCAGATCAGTTGCTGGTTACATAGCTGGATCAGTAGATGGATTGAAAAATAGGTAGGTAGAGCAAAAGAAACGGACTTATGAATAGCCTGATGGCTGTGCTTACTTCGTGAGCGCATGGAGGTGTGTCTGCAAACCTGCTTGTCGCTCGTGGATACACGCACAACCGCTCGAGCTGGTACTCGGCATGGTTCCAGGATCGACATGCTGGAACACAGGCCAGACCAGACTCACCTACTACAGCAACATCACAGGTCGAGCACGGCGGTACCACTCCATCAAGTTGTGGCTGAGGGCTTGGGCCTTGGGGTTTCCCGTGCTGCGGGCAACAAGCATGTCTGCATGGCGACCTCCTGAACCCGTCACTTCCCCTTACATGAAAGAAGCTCGTGGTGTGGCACCTCGGGGAACAGACCAAGCTTCCTGAGGTAGTTGTTTGCCTTGCACGAAGCAGGAATGCCATCCTGGAAATGCAGCAACACATGGCCTCGAGAATGAGGCCCTCCCTGATCTTCAGAGGGAAGATGCCCTTGTCCTCGCAAGCATGGTGGTCAGTTTGGGCATCTTGCAGTTTCCCTGCCAACAACTTAACTACAACTCACAGCTGGCAGTGGTCCGCGTTGGTAGGGATGATGCCGGTGGACACATCCTGTGCCAAGCTTGCATACTCTCTGATCATCTGCTGGCTGCTATTGAGTAGGCTGTTGCCTCGCAATCTTGCTGTGCGTTTCGATTGGTTGCCACCGCATGTTGCTTGAAATGACTATGTTGACTGCTCTTCTTGGTCTTATCCTTTTTCACACCCGATGATTCGTGTGCATGTTGGCGAGGCTCAGATCGAACTGCGAGCAGCATGAGCTCGCAGCTCGCACCCTCCACAACATTCAGCATCCTCTACTGTATGAGCCACAGGGCTCAGGAACAGCACTTGCTGCTGTCTTCTGGTAGGTACTACTTCACAACTTATGTCTGATACTCTTACCACTCCCCAACCAAAGAACCCAACCCACGTGGGGAGCTTCTTCAGAATAGCCGCGCCTTGGCCTTCGTGAGGACCTTGTAGCCTGGCTGCTGGCTCAGGACCTTCTCCAGCCAAGCCTCAAAGTGCAAGGACCGGAGGACGCTAGTCTTTCCAACAGCAACGCAGTGTAATCCGCAGATCCCACATCCGTGCCTCGCAGTTCAATTCGGCCTGCTTCGCCTGTCACAGCAGAGAGTTGGCTTCGCTGTCGCACAGCTGAGAAGAGCCACGGATGTTCGGGGTATGCCACTCTCAGCCCGTATGAGGATGCACAAACCTACAGAGCCTGGCAGACAAAGCTAGCCTCTGGGACGTAAGCAAGGACTGCGAGGTGTTCCGCTCCAGCTGAGAACACCTGCGAAGACAGCAGCTGCACAGACAAACATTGTGAGGGTGTTTCGGTACTTTCCCTGTGGCCCCCGCCATCTTGCCGATGTCGCCGGAGCCGCCTGTTGCGGCTCAGGCGAACTTGCGACTGCCGAGGCTACAACCCTAAGATTTGCGTCGGCACCCTTCCGAACCCTGCCTTTTCGCTCCTCCTCGCTAGGATCGGACTTGGCATTCATGGCCTCCCGTCGTGCGAGTTCTTGGAAGCTCTAGGGCTCCACATCGGACAGCGCGATGCAGCGCGCCAGGCCTCGACGCACTTCGTCAGGAGCTCGACATCGCCCTGGCAACATCGTGCTTCCCTCGTGTACTCTTTGCGCAGCTTCACCCCGCTTTGTGAAGGAACTCCCACCGCTTCCACCGGACATCCCATGATTGCCGTCATGGTTTTTTGCTTATTACCGGTTGTCACGACGACGATCATCGTACGCATTGTTACCGTCGTTGCCTTGGCAGCAGGAGAATTATTGCTATTCTTCGCTGTCTGGCCCTCACGATCATCATGAGCACCAAGGTCCACAAGCAGATCTATCGGCAGAGGAGTGGTCGCAGCAGCAGTGCTGATAGACAGTCACACGCCGTCTAACAATCCGATAGACCATCACGGACCGAAACACAGTGCATGTACTTGCTTCTTCACCAACCTCTGGTTCGTCGACGGAGGTGCAGAAGAACCTCACCGACTCAGGCGTTCCCAAACTTCTCCATCGCAAAGACATGGCGCCTTAAACCTATACCTTCTTTACAGCAATCGCCCAGGACCACGACTGCAGGCCACCCATGTCAGCAGCGCCCTCAATCTCAACTCCACGCTTGCCGCCCTCCTTCAGGACCTGCAACAACTTCAGTTCACGGGCTCCCCAGACAGAGCTGGCCATGTCAACGTGCCTTCTTCAGCTTCTTGGCCTCATTTCGGCAGACAGCAAAGACGAAAGTCTTGCAAAGAAAAGGATGTCACATGACGTCCCTAACCCCGGCTGTTGGTCTGAGCGGCTGGATCCTCCGGGGCCTTTGGCGCATCCTTGGCCTTCTCGGCTGCTTCCTTCTCCTCACAAGCTTGGCTCTGCAGCGCGGTCTTCGTGCCAGGTCATCATGTCTTACGACGCGGATGCCGCCTTCTTCTCCTGGGCCTTCTTGATGTCCTTCTTGTTCATCTTGACCTGGAGACAACGACAAGCCAACGCCAAGAAGCTTGATTGCCCTACATATTGCTGGATGTTGCAAGCTCTGCAAATCTCTGCAATCACAGCCACAACCAGAGCGAATCAAAACTTGAAGGAGCTACGGCTACAGGGACCGAAGGCCAGGCCTGGGATGCACAATGCCTGAAAATCCTAGCGGTCTCACGGACACGTGCGAAGACGACCCCGTGTAACATCCTTGCAGTAGCGACTCGTCCGAGGCTCCCCTTGTCGGTTTGGCTTCGATAGTATGAATTTGGACTGACCCGATTTCTTGTAGCATTCAAACCAGGCCAGGAAATGTCCACCACGGTGCCTTTAAGGCCGACTCTTGACGGGAAGGACCTCGAATGATTCAATAACTTCTCTTGCCCCAGAAACGCCTCTATCAAGCTGGGTTTAACTCCCGTCGCTTTTTTCACTGCTAACTACCCAGGAAGGAGAAGTAAAAGACTTGGAAAGCTGCAGTACAGCACCATGAAAGCCGCCTCCTCGAGAGTGTAGGTCTGGGTCTCAACGTTGGAGATGCCCTTGATGCCCTTCAGCTTGGACAAGAACTCTTCCTGCGCCGTGGGTCACAATCGAGTCATGCGTCCAGCGCCCGCATGGAAGAAGGGTAGTAATAGCATTTATAATTGTACCCCATTCCCCCATTCCCTCCTATCCAAAGGTAAGAGTTCCGCAGACTCAAACTCAGCTTCTGCTGGCTCCCCTCTGCCTCGGGCGCGAACTTAGCCTTCTCCCACTCGCCGAAGGCGGCTGCCGACAGCTTTGTCACCACCTGCAGGACTGAGGCACGACGAGGACTGAACTATTTGAGGGGATCTTCCGCGTCCCTCCGCGCCGAGGCCTTGAAGTCCAGGCAGCCTGGAGGGAGCTCACAAGAAGAGAAAGAGAAAGAGACAGTGCAGTAGTGATAGCGGTACATGTGATACTACACACTCGCAGCCCTCCTAAGTGAACACGTCCGCTCCCTTGAAGTGAATAGAAGTCCAGGCCTCCGCAGACCACGCGCTGCACGGAGCCCACGCCCTCAACCTGCCAGGTTTGAGGTTACCTTTGCGGAAACCAGGGGACCGCTGCCGACTTGGTAATCTCTTGACACAAGGGATAGGGGCCTTGCCTGATTCTACTGTGTCTTGTGTCATTGCCTACAAGATGCTCTTGACACCTGAGCCACTTTCGAGCTGCTTAACAGCATCGTTGGAGGATGCGCTTGATCTTCCCATTTCGTCGCTTCGTTTGCTTCACAGCCAACCTCGCGATGTGTGCTGGGGTCTCGTGCAGGAGTGCTCCGAAGAATTCCTGCGTTGATATCCATTAACTCGGCCTTCGTTGAAACCGTTCCATGTGTTGCAGGATAAAGCTTTGCTAGTTCTTCCAGGAATTGCACGGTCTGCCCCTTCGGGGAAGACCACCTTTTGCAAGTGAGGTCGAGAGTGCCGTGGGTAGAGAAAGAGGCTTCCAGCATCTGGTGATCCCAGCGGGCTGCTTGCGTCGGAAGGCGGAACGCGGTCTCCACTTCAACAGATATAATGTTACCACAAACACAAACACACACACACACACAGATGCACAACTAGTGAAGGAGACTCCGCCAAACATCGCAAGCTGTGCGGAGCTCAGGTCGGCCAAGACGTCGTCCAGGGCTGCCTGTGCGGCGCTCAGCGCTGCCTCCCGTGCACCGGCCGCGGCTGACTGCAAGGCTTCGGCTTAGAGTCCTCTCCACACTTCTCCGCACAGTTCTGCAGAAGAGCTGAGCCCTTCTTTGTGCACCCGCCTTGTCGTTGTCATCTGCCCACTTGCAGCGCCATTCCCGGGCAATGTTATCAAACCTTCAAGCATCAAACGGGATGAGCAAACAAGAACCATCATGGACCACCGCTTGCATTCCAAGCGGCTTCACGGTCTTGGTGATCTCCGGCATGGTTGGATCGGAAGTGGCAGATCCCTCAAACTGCTTCCGACTTGAGCCCAGAAACTGCGCGGCAAGGAGAAGTTCTCCGAAGGCAACGAAGATCTCTGTCCACTTACAACACGCATCATGGAGACACGAGGTCTTGCTGCAGCATGCAAAACCAGCAGCCTTTCCAACCTGTAGTTCTTCAGCAGTCTTTGCAACACTGTTGAAACTGATACTGTCGCGGGCTTGCCGGTCTCTGCTTGAATTGCAAAGCAACGCCATCGTCTCACCAATATCTCACACAATCACCCAGCACTCCCAACATCCGACGCGCATCCTCCAGGGATCCGAAGCAGGCCGGCGAAAAGAGCTTCGCAGGCAACCAGGGATCCGAAGGTGAGACGCTCCAAGCACCTGACATACCGACTCGTGTATCTAAATCGACATAGTGAAAGCCAACGCTGCGATATATCCACTCACATAGGCTGGAGCCACCTGCATTCTGCGCACGCTGATCGCTCAGACCTGCGATGATCAGTCTTTGAAGGCAAACGCAGAGGAAGCACACGGACACAAGAGCTCTGCTCAAGCCTCTTCAAGCGTGTAGGTCTGCGTCTCCACGGTGGAGATGCCATCGATGGCCTTGAGCTTGTCCAGGAATGCCTCCTCCAGAACATCCATCTGTTCGAGATGGTATCGGCAGCAGATGCAGATAGAGACTAGAAGAGGAAACCGTGTTGAAAGGCCCGCTGTGATGACAACCAGCAAGGCAGCTGTCGACTAGGACCACTCCTCCGGAGCGAAGCCCGCGTTCTCCCAGTCGCCGAACTTGTCTGCTGGCAGCTTCACAACCACCTGCGAGGCATTGCGAAGCCGTTTGTGGAGTCACATGGCCTCGCTTATCTACAATGCATGCAATCTGGTTCGCCTTGAAGTCTAAGCACCCTCCACAGACGACGCGCTGCACCGACTTCACGCCCTCCACCTGGAAAGCAGCACGCCGCTCTGCAGAGCACTCCCGAGCCGTCAAAATACGACTGAGGAGAGAGCAGACTTGACGTCCGAGATCACGGAATCCAAGGCCTCCTGGGCTGCATCCAGCGAAGCCTCCAAGGGCACTGCAACAGGTGCAGAATGGTGCAGCAACCGAAGCACTCGAGGCACAGCGTTCTCTCGCGCGGCTCCTTGTCGTCGTCTGCAGACCACTTGCAGCGCCACTCCCGAGCGATGTTGTCAAACCTTGAAAAAGCAGAAGCATCAACGGCTCCAGGCGAGGCACACACACACACACGTGTCTGCACCATCAAGCGTAAGGTTCAGGCGAGACTTTGTCCGTAATGGATGCGCGACGCAGAACTGCTGCAGCCAGCACAGCTGCGAAGCCGACCGAGGCCTGGGAGCGCCAATGGGCCCCTACTTCGAGGCTCGTTCCCAGAGCGCTAGGCCGCTGGGCAGCCCGACGCTCAGTTGAAGGCCTCCCTGATTGTCGCTGTCGCCGATGGAGGCAGGGGCCATTCCACGATGGGCTGGAGGTGCAACTGGCCACCAACGCGCAACAGAAACACGCCAACTGCGCAGTGAGCGCTGCCAAAATAGGCTTCCTGCACCTCTTGGCGACGAAGGCGCCAAGAAGGCCAGCGTGGACATCAACGCCACAGCAGCCACAGTGGCCCGTGCTGCACGTGACGAGGCCATCTTTGCCTGACAGGCATCCATCGCTTCCAAGAGTCGGGAGGATTCTTGCGCCGTACATGCAGCATCTTCAAGTTAGCATCTTGCGTCGTAGCGGCTGCGGCTGAGGAGGAAGGCAACAAAACCAACTAAATCTCGCGAAAACCGGAGCCAAAATCGCCGCATCGCAAAAGTCGATCTGTGTGTGTGGGGATGCGCAGCATACTTCACCTCCCGCTATCTCCCGCACCCCATCGGCATGGGATGAGGACTTTTCTCAAGCACTGGTGGCTTCTGTTGCACCACTGCGCCCATGGCAGCAGGCAGCATACAACTGTTGCAAAGGGTGCGCATGCTCCTCTGCATGCAGCCACAGGCTCTACAAGAGACAAAATCAAAGCTCGGCTAAGTATCTTCAGCAAGCAGGCATCGAGCCACTCTGCAGTGTCTTTGCCAAGCTGGAGCAGGTCTTCACAGCTCACTATCCTTCAGAGCTGTCAAACCTGGCGTTACCGTCTGCTCTGCTACAGCAGTCCCAGAAAAGCATCATTAGCACTACTGTCGCCTGGGTTGCACTCGTATGACATGTGTCTTCAGAATCCTTTCCGACACAGGTGCACTCTATCTTCAGACAGGCTTCTTCAGGGAAGCCATAACATGTTGCACATCAAAAACCAAAGCTCCTGCCAATGCTCATGGTAGTGAGAACACATGTGAACACCATACTGATACTGATCACGCATGGGATACTCACAACGATGACAAAGCTTAGAAACAACAACGATGACTGTTACTGCAAAGGTGGTTCATGGTTATGGCATGCAAGTCCTGATCATGAGAAGGCATGCATACTACTACAAAACGCAGAAAATTGCTCTCAGCATGACGCTGAAAACATCAGTACTGCGACTACCCGCTTCGCAGCCCCACCAGTGCCTGCAACCACCGGAACCCCGACGACCACCTCCTTCACCTGTACCACCACCTACACCACCACCAGCAACAACCCACCACCAGGAGCATCATCATCAGCATCGTCCCTGGCAATGTTGCGCCATCATCAGTATCATGCTTCCTCGACCGGGGCCCGGACGCGCCAAAATCACCGCTGCGACTCAGATCTGCAACAGCGAGTGAGCTTGCTAGTCTATTTCGCAAAGCAATAGGCCCTTGTTCGCGTTGCCGTTGCCACTTCTAGATTCCAGCCCAGATCGTGGCAAATGCCGGCCCGTCATTTTGTCCGGCTCTTCGATGGAAAACGCAAGACTCGAGTCTCAAATGGCATCTATGGTTTTGGGTTTGGGTGCGCGGTTCCTGGACTGAGGGTTCATTTCATTTCGATTCCGAGGGTTGAAGACTGTCATCAGAAGCATGAATGGCCCCAGGTCCGATGAGGCCGAGCACGGGGGCGAACTTGCCGGAAGGCTCTGCTTGCTCTACTCCACTGAGGGGTTGGGCTTTGGTACGGTACAAGTACAGGGTCTACGGGTTTGCAGTTTGCGGCTTAGGGATTTCGGAGCCCACTTGCGAATGTCGAGGACTCGCGATGACCGTGCTAGTCATGATACAAGTATCAGCAATAAGCAAAAGGAATGACCTGCATGGTACCAATGGCGATGATAGCCCTTTAGGAGACATATTAATATAGAAGGCCTGTGTAGGAAAATACTCTGACAGCTGCGTTGTCTCAGCACATGATCATTACCAATGCACTTCAACCGCAACACGGGTGCCCTAGAGAGCCTAAAGCGCCTAGCCTAAACTTCCGAAACCCTACTGTGCACATGCACGTTGAAGCTGAAAAACACGCGAACCTTTAAGCGAGTACAACTGGCAGCTTGCCAAGGCTTGCAGAAATTAAGGCCGCGACGGTCCCCTACTGTGCCTGTTACGTTGAGTGCACATATTACCACCTATATTGTCATGATATTGCGACTGCCAGAGCCATTGGAAACACCATGCATACTGGCTCCTACATACTTGCTCTTATTGCATCCCAACTTCCGAGGCGGCTGGTCGTGGCCTTCGATCGGGGAACTTCCACAACCTTAGCCTGTGATTTATCAAGAACCACTGCTTACCACCAACACTTAGTGTCTCGGCTCAATGTCTAGTTTCGACGGTCACATGTTCAGAGGCATCCACTGCTGAATCGTTTCGTGCGGAAAGCAAAGAAGGAACTTCAACACGCAATCGGAACTTCGCGCTTATGCAAAGGCCTCCTCCAAGGTGTAGGTCTGCGTCTCGACGATGGAAATTCCCTCAATGCCCTTCAGCTTGCCCAGAAATGCCTCCTGATCAGCTGCTCGGATCACAGACCTCCTCCCGGCTTCCTGAGGGCCCGAGGCTCTATAGCCTATGCCCGTCGGCGCCTCTGGTGCGAATTTGGTCTTCTCCCAGTCGCCGAACTTGTCTGCCGGCAGCTTCACAACAACCTGTGAAGCAGCAGTGCTTTGCTTGGGCTGCTTGGCACTGCTTGGGCCAGCTTGGTCGACAGGTGCCTTGAAGTCCAAGCAACCGCCGCAGACCACGCGCTGCACGCTGCCTGCAAAGTTTAGCTTCCAAACACTCTCACGGAAGCTGCGCCGGGAAGAATTGCTGCCTAGGCCGTCCACCTGAGAGACCAGGCGGCAGGGAGCAGTGTTGGCCAAACTCGACGTGCCAGTCAAACTGAGAGCAGCTCCTTCTTGATCTCTGGCAAAACCTTGCACACTGTTCGACGGTTTCGAGCAGGATCTGTGCTATTCTTTGCTTCACCGCGGGTGACAAACGGGGCCTCACAGCGCTAAGCTTGATCGCTGAGCTAGGCACTTCTTCCAGTGCGGCTTGCGCAGCTTTCAGGGAAGCCTCGATGCCGCAGGCATGCCCAACATGCTATGTGAAGGAATTGAGGAAAGCTGATATAACCTCCCAACTATTTCGAAGACTGCCTTATTATTGCCTCATCCAACCAACTCCTCAAGAGCTCAATAAGTCAAAATACACCGAAATTGCTGGATGTCCCCCTTCAGCGTCCTGCCCGAAACAGCCATCGGAAAGCCGCAAACCTCAACCTCTCTCCATGCCCGCATCGAGAAGCTGAAACTGCCATGTCGTGTACATTGTCCACAGTTTACTACCCGGCATGCAGGATGCGTGGCACAGTCTGGAGCGCATACCCAAAGGCTGGAACAAAAGAACCGTTTGGCCTTTCCAATAACCTGTAAAGTAGCACTCTCATGCCAGGCCCTGTCGAAAGTCTACCGATCAGCAGCGACCTTCTCCCCGTCAGCAGACCACTTACAGCGCCATTCGCGCGCGATGTTGTTGAACCTGGGATGGGTAATCTGGACTGAGAGCGTCATTTCGATCGATGTTCCTGCCTGCGACAAAGCACAACCAGAGCTAATGCCAGCAAGGCGCGAGACGTTGTCGGTAATTGCCGGCATTCAGCTGGGATGATGGCACTTTCGCACGACTTCGGAACTTGAGCCGGTCTTGCGATGGCGGCAAGGTTGCCCCTGAACTCTTGGTACAGCTGGAGAGCATCCCGTGGCATGCGCATCCTTTTCTCCGAAACACAGAAGACGTCAGCCTATGCCACAAACGCAAGGCAAAGCCGGTCCGCTTTCTCAACGGTTCCTGGGGTTCGGCGAAACTCACTCTGATGGGTTCCCTGAGCACTTGCGCCAGAAGCTCCGCGCCACTGCCATCTGCGCCGAGCAGCGCACTCTGCAGCGCGCAAAGCAGTGTGAAGTGATCCGTGTCTGGGAGCCGAGGACTTGCGACCCCTTGCCAGTCAGCAGAAAACCTGAATGGGGACGAAGCTCTCGAGGTGAATAGGACCAAGCAGACCATGCAGCTTGGAGCATCCTTCTCTGCGAGAGGCTTCCACAAAGCCTGCGGGCACACGGGAAAGTGCGGTGTTTACTTGGGCCGAAGGGTACAGTGCAGCTACCCCTGCACATACTGGTTTTCTACACTCCTCCTAAGCTGCGCAGGGGCAAAGCAGATGGAAACCGACATGATGTCGGGTGAATTTCAGTCACTTCGTCGACCCTCGCACTCCAAAAGATCGCACGACCAGTTGTGATACGTATATAAGTAGAGATTGAGAGTCTGCCGAGCTCAGGACAAACAGGTCTTGGAGCACCCGGGGACTGTACCGACGATAAATGACAAGACCATGCTACAAGACGGCGCCAACGACGAGCCGCGTGCGAACGCTCGGAAATACTCCCTATTGCAAAAGATCTGAAGCATCTGGCATCCGATGCAAAACGAAGTCACGGCCCTCTTACTAGCATGAAAACATCAGAAGTGCTCTGAAGAGAACCACTCTTTGGGTTTCACTGAGTTAAGCATGGGAAAAACTGGGGCACATGCTGAACTACTACAAGCCGACAGGACTTGTCAGCATGCGAAGTACTATGTACCTGATCATCTGTGGCCTGATGAGGGCATTCCGCTTTGTTTGGGAAGGATGCAAAAACCGCCAGCCAGGCCTGCAAACTCTCCCGGCACGATCACAAGCGCAAGCAACCCCCACCCCGGCACTCCCTCCCCGCAAGGATGCCTGGAGCAACTCCGACGCGGACACTTCACTGCACAGCACGTCGCTCCTTGACTCCAAATACAGCTGCAGCGTGCCATCTCGTCTGTAGGGCAGAGTTGGAAGTAGACCATTCGTTGGCAGCTGCACAGTGCAGGCACGTCTTCCCGGCATAGCTGCTTTCGCGAGGTTTCCCTTCTGCATGTGCTCCTGCAATGCAGCATCAACAAGCTCCCGAAGTTCCTTGAGCACGCAATACTCGGTGGCCCTTCGCCCCTGGAAGCGCCCCTTGAAGCGGCGCGTGACGGTTACGACTGCACCACATGTGAAAGCGAAGGAAAGCCTGCACCGATCCCATGCATGATGCGCCCGCCAGAGTCCTGCAATGCAACTGCGTGCGAGCAGACTACATGCAGCTGCAGACGACGAGGTTGGGTCGCAAGACAGCTCTTGCAGCGGTGCTTGCACCGGCAGACAGAAGTGGACCAGTGGCCCGTCACGCAAAAAGAGCTCTTGCTCACGACTATCCGGACAAGGCCATCCATGGAGTGTGTTCAATGAACCCGTCTGCTTCCAATGCTTGAGAACCCCCAGTGACTTTAGGAGCTGCTGACAGCTGTGCAAGGCCTGCAAGCGTGCCACTACCTTCGATGTGAATTCGCCAACCCAACCCATGCTCAAGCGCAAGACGCTCCATCGCTTTTCGACGGCAGCCCGTGCGAAGCACTCGAGCTGCTCTGTGTTCAGCTCTTCCCGCAGGCCCAGCACGAAGACAGCTCGCCGAGCTTCGGGAACGTCTGCGCTTGCTGACGGTGCAGTCACTGGCAGTGGAGGAAACGTTTCGTCCAGAAGCACTAGCACTGAGTTCTCACATCCTAGTGCTTCAAATAAAGTTGCAGCTGTCTCCTGGAGCGAGTCTCGGCTTGGGAGGAGGCAAGCACCATGTGGCCTGGCCTCCAAGGCCGCGCGCCGACCGCTCTCGTCGTCTGCACTGTGCTCGTCGTGGATAGATTGTGCCAGCCGCTGGCACTGCCGCAGCACCGAATACTCCGTCACTTCGTGCTCCAAGAAGCCACTTGTCAGCACCCACCATTGCCGGCTGCGTGTCTGCCGCGTGTCTTCAAAAACGAGCACCACGGCAGCTTCCGGAGAGTCACGGCCAAGCGCCGCCATCAGAGACCGGGCCACGTCATCCCGAGTGTTTCCCAGGCTTCTGACACCCTCCGGCGACTTCGGCCAGGCATCCTTGGAACTGCTGCCGCGGCAAAGGATGCAAAAGACCACCCTGGCTTCCCTGGCCGCATCCTGAAGCTTGAAGTCTGTATCCTGCGGCCGGTGCGATGCATGCGACTCTCGGGCAGCGTTGCGAAGCCGATCGGCGCGTGAACAACATCGCAGCGTTGCCACGGTCAGCACTGCCGACAGCCGCTGACCAGCGTGGCAGTGGTTGCGTCGCGAACAAGGCCTCCGTTCGAGAGACTGCAATCGCTGTTCATGCCACCGATACACAGAGCACGTGGAGCACACGGACGGGGAGAGGCTCATTCTATCTACTCTGCCACGGGCCACTGCAAAGGCAGAGTCATGTCGTCATGAAGTTTTCTCGACAGCTGCTCTCATGAGCAGATGCCGGAGGCAATCCGCAATCGGATACTTCCGAGCATAGAACCTGCTAAACTCCAGCAAGCTGCCACTTTCTGCCTGTTTCCTTCTGTCCTGAATCTAATTGCGACTGCAACATGGTCCTTCAGACCATGAGCACGCTGACGAAACAACTCGCAAGATTTCACTTTCGGGGCTGACTTGCCGGGAAACTTGTTTCAGCTTCTGCTTCATCTGATCATGCACACATGGTATCTTCCAACAACCTTCTTGCATGAAGGGTCGCAGATTGTTCCCGAGTCCAGCCTTCGGAAAACACCACCCTCGGGCCCTCCCGGTGCTTTGCGCACTTTGCACCGCTGTGCTCTCTTTGCTCACCTTTCCCCACACCGGCAGGGCCTTCTGGTACAGGACTGTTGTCCAAGGTGATTGTGATTGAAGTCCTGTCCGTCGACGAGGACGCCACACAGCGTAAGCAAGCATGTCTTCTCAGTGAACATTATTGAATCAGGTTGTAGCAGATTCTGGCAGTCTTGTACGATCCCGTCTTGCTTCTGCTTCTTAGTCCCCTCATTATCGAGTCTCCCGGATGTGTTGAGTCTTACGTATCTAACCCAGTACCTTAACATGACAAAGTTTCGTGGTCAAGCCACTTTGAAAATTGTCCGTGCAGCAGGTAGTCAGAGAAGCTTGGACATGCCCTTAATGCAGAATGGCAAGAATGGAGGGGCAGTGCGGTTTGGCCGTCGAGCGACAGGAAGAATCTACGGGCGACGCTGCAAGCCATGCGCAAGTCTCATTTCCACAAAGTTTGCACATGAAAACCTCTGCGAAGCGAAAATGAGACTCTGGGCTTCTGGCTTGCCGGCATCCGGAGGGAGGCGAAAAAGATGAAAGACACGGTAGGCTTTCCCGTAGGCTACTGTATCCCTGCAGGAGGCTATGCTTCAGTAAACATACATTCTCACACCTCTCTTCGGCACCAACGTCTGTGCAGGGTAGGAGAGCTTTGCTCTTCGTTGCATGACGAAGCGTAAAACTCGCTCAAGCGAAACCTGGCCGCCAAGCGGACAGCGATAGAAACTAGCACAAACATCAGCAGACTTAAGCTTCTCCCAGTAACCCTTGCTGACAGCACTTGCAGCTTGTGAATCCCGAATGGGAGCCTAGACAACACCGGTACGGGTAGACATTTCACCTCGGCCCCCTAACTTCCCTGCAACATGATTTCACTGGTGCGGAGGCTGCCCTCTTCTAGCCACTGATAGGATTTGATGGCACGATCCTCTCCTACACCATTTCCACTTCCGCTTAGTCGGCTCGTACGAAGATACTGTCGGTGTTTTGACGGCGATTCCCAGAACTTGTCGTCATGGTGTCGGCGTTTCAACTAGACATACCACGAAGCAGACTGCTTGTGCAACCACTTGCTACTGTACTTGCCTCAACCTCATCAACACGATTCAGATTTCCCCTGCCTGGCTCGTGTGCCACCTTCCAAACAGCATTGGCAGCGGCATCGAAACTGTCACAGACCTGCGCAGGAACGTGCCACACTAGCGCATCAACGGATCCTTCGGAGTTTCGCAAGCAATGCTAGGCTAGGAATCAGGAAGGTGCAAGAGAATTGAGAAGTGTGGGCTGCCCCTAAAGCATCCTAAGCCCTCTGCGAAGCTGAAGCACGCGCCTGAACGGTTGGGCTTTCTCGCACTGGGATCGATCTTGAGGTCGCCTGGTCAAGTCTCGTAGCGAGTCGCGAAACACGCATGGACCCGCCGCATCTGCAAAGCCGAAGCCTCAACAACAACTGGAGTTGAAGCCAGTTCAGGTCTCGAAGCTATGTACCTGCGGAACAAACAGCTATGCCACGGCATCGAAACTGCCAAGTTCAACTACAGAAGCCTGCACATTCCATGCCAGCACTGCGAACTGAGACGATGACTGCAAGAAGGGAGGTGCTTCAGCACCTGTAACCATGACCTGCAGAGGTGAACAACTCCATCTGAATCGCAGAAAGGCATGTCTCCGAAGCCTGCCTTCGCCCTGCTGCACCCCTTTCTACCTCTCCCCAACGAATCCGACCCAGACGAGGGCCAAGTTCCAGACCACGGTTCGCACCAGGGCGCGCTTCTTGTCCAACGCCCTTCCGCAAAGAAGGAATCAGAAAAGAGCTATATATATATATATATATATATATATATCATATTATACACACACATTATAATATATATATATATATATATTGTATATATTTTATGAGGTGGCGGGAACGTTTCCAGGGCCAGGAGGGGGCCTGTGAGAAGTGGCGCAAAGACACAGCGGCGTGACAAAGGAAAACAAACCGCACCTGGCGGCATTCTTGTGGGTTTTGTATCCTTTGACCTTCCAGAATCCCACCCATGCGGCTCGCAAAGCAAAGGACGAGACATCCGCACCTGACAGCCCAGCCCTTCGAGCTGTGTTTTCAGGCTCACCGCCGTTGGCTTGAAGGCCTTCCGCTGCACGCACCGGGCAGGCTGGGCTGGCTGCGCTGAGGCTCTGCTCTCAGACTCTGCTCTCAGCCTGGCCTGGTCCGAGATCCAGACCAACGTCCACGAATTTTCAGAGGCCTCGCTGGGAGCTGAAGCGCCCGGCCGTCCGGAGCCGTCAAGCTCCCGCCACACACTCTGAGTGCAAGACCTTCTGGTTCGAAGCCTCGACACCTGCCAGCAGGCTCCAAAACAAAGATTTTGTGACGACTCCGTCCCGCATACCAGCATAGTCGTACTGCGACAGTTGCGGTCGTAGTGAACAGTGAGCAGTGCCAGTGCAATCTGTCCGCCTTGTGCGTCCTTTGCTTGCTTCGACTCTGCGGGTGCCATGACCTGAGCTGCATTGATCCTCTGGACTCGACCGTGAACTTGATCTTCCGAAAAGGGGGGACAGGGACAGGACTCGCTAGAGGAAGCAACCAAAAAGAGTCTACTGGATCTTGTCACTCCTTTCACAATACCTGCACAACTAGTACCGTCAATTGCGACCTTTGAATACTGTCACAGTAGTTGACATCATGCGCCGCATCTCGCTGGTCTCGACTGGATCACCCTGAAGACACATACCTTTGAATCACGCAAGTGCAAGCAGTGACTTTATTAACCAAACGGGTAGACAACGTGTGAGCCCTCAAGGTTTGCAGCATGAGGTGCACATTATGGGAAAGCAGATGCCTCAGATAACCGAAAACTATCTGCGCGTATGCCGGGAGCAAGCCGTTTTGTCTCTGCCATTGTTCGACATGCGCAGACGTATGTGGATTTCTGACGCAGATGAGCCCGCATCAGCTCAGATCGTCCCAATCGAAGATCCCATCATGTTCTGGATCCTCGCATGCAGGCGAAGCATCACAGAAGCCTCTGCTGCTCTGCATCTGCGTCGGCGCTGCAATGGCTGTTGCTGCTATTTCTGACTTCTCTTCCTTCGACTTCCAGTCTGACTGCAACGATGCATGCTCTGCACAACCACGCATGCTGTGACTGTCCGTGCCACCTCCTTCGGCTTTGCAGCCCTCTCCGGTCCTGAACCAGTCCGAGTTCCACTAGACGGTCCTGTCGACGGGGCAACACGAGGGTTCTGGCTTTGGCGTGTCTGCGTACTGGGACAAGCAGGCAAAGCTGTGGTTCCGAAGACATGCTTACTTCACTCCTTTCTCGCCAGTGAATCTCAAGTTGAGCGAAGAAGAGAAAAATGTTTGTTCCGCCCTGGAAAGGACCAAAGAGTCGGCCAGTTTCGAGAAAAGGAGTAGCAACCGATGAGAAGGATGTGTCCGGGCTCAACTTGTTCCCAAAGGGCCTTGACATGCAAAGACTAATGCCCGAAATTCTGCCACCAGCCACTAATATGCGCCTTAAGACCTCATCCCTTCCCGAGTCTGGCCTTCAGCTTCGCCGTGTCCACCCCAGCAGCGGCAACGGCTTTTAGCCTGGAGGCGACAACGTCGCAGAAAAACATCAAGACGACACCGGCATCCGCCACTTGTTGCGCATGTTGGTTGAGGATGCCCTGAGGTCTGTGCAAGCGCAAACCCGCATTGGGGTCAAAACCCCACCGCCTGGACAAAACAGCACTTCGAATTGACTTCGCTCAAGTTCCAAGTAGCCACGATTGAAGCGACACGATCGCTGGTTGCCTCGCCGTATCATGGCAGTCATCCGTTGAGATGAGCTCTTCAGCAAGCTGCTCCGCCAGCCTGCGAGATGTGGGAGTCGGCACGAAGAAAGCACTTGCAGGAGTTCTTGCGACATCATCTCAACGATGCCAGTTTGATGCTACAACATGCATCCGACGGCCACGTTGAATCAGACTTCGGCGGTGCTAGAGCTAGAGCGCCTCGTCGTCAAGGACAGGCCGTCATCAGCGGAGCCTGGGCCCGCTCCAGAACCACAAAGCCAGCAGGACCTTCGGGAGACCTCCAACCCTTACAATCTAACAGGAACAGTACGGGTAGCTGTCGTGTGGAGTACAACAGATTCTCAGCCGATGACGGCCCTTCGAGTCCTGGCTTGGCAGGGCGACAGCAGCCTGCGATCGTTCATCTTCAGCACCCCTGCAAAACCTGGCCTCTCCGAGTAAAGCTGACACCTGACTGCGTCTAACTGCAGAAGATCTCAAACCACCAACCCTGGAACTCGCAACAGTACGGTGATATAGGGTGATGAGTTTAGTTTTGATATGTTTGTCCTGCTGCAGCTGCTCCTCCTCCTCCTCCTCCCCCTCCTCCCCTACAACGACCAGCCGCTGCCACTACGACTAACAATAGCTTCACGCAGCTAGACTGCAAAATGTCCTAGGCCCCACGACAACTGCCACCAACTCGGCTACTGCTACCACTACAACTAGCACCACACCACTATACACCACTGCTGCAGTCCTGCTGCTACTTGTACCGTCTTGTGCTGCTGAGCTGCTGCTACTGCAACTGCTACGGCTTCCGCTTCTGCTGTACCTCCAGCTCCCGCATGCTGCCACAGTTACCCCACCACATATACCACCACGTCTACGTCTGCTACTTGTCAATGTCGTCTTCGGAGCCTCTGCGATGGCCACGCCTTCGAGTGGCACCTGGAGGAGGCTGTTTCCGGATTCAGGGGACATGCGTTGGGAGGTGAGGGCATTCAGGGTTTGGGGTTTGGCCTGCCTCAGCACCCAGTGCGACCAGCAGTTCCACCGCCTGCAAAGAAACGTGAAACAGAACCCCGCAGAATGCAGGATGCACAGCGGGCCTCGACATTGCCAGCTTCTGCCGCCAGCTTCAGCCTTGTCCCAACGCGGTCAGAAGATGTCAGCAATCGACGCCAGGGCTCCCAGCGGTGTGAGGCCGTCGTTTGCACGGGCCTCCAGGTTGGCACGCCGGGCAACGAGGAGTCGCAGGACCTGAGCAGATCTCAGATCGCAGGGCCCAGAAGCGCAACGAAAAGGCGGCCTCCACGTGCCCGTTGAGTGCAGCCAGCATCAACGCAGTCTCCTGGGATGCAGAAATCCGTGCCTAGCAACTTCGCCTTTCTCTTTTCGCTGAGGCCGCTGCACCATCCAGGCCTTTCGTCTCCAGCGCGGCCTCGGCCTGGCGGAAAGCACTCACCGAGCTTCGCTCCCCCCCAGATCAGGGGTGCCTCCAGCAGTCTCTTCAAGACACCAAAGTGGCCCGCCTGGCGACTGGCGATCGGTCGGTAAACTTCTGCAACCCGTGCTGAAGGAAGCGCGAGTCTGTGTCGGAAGATCCTCTACAGACACCGACCGTGCCTGCGAGGCCAATAGCATGGGCGACCAACCGCGTCTATCCTGAGACCAGGAATGCTAAGCAGCTAATGTAAAATTGCTGGCTGCTGGCTCTTCGTGGGTCAAGCAACTAGTGTTTATGTGGTTGTCACGCGACGCACCGGCCATCGATTACTTTCGTCGTTTCAAATTCCGAACCACAATGCCTCAATCCCAATGTGTCATTTCCTGGATAGATCCAGCAGTGGCCGAAACACCCCGGTGCCTGTGCGTCTAGCAGCGCGCGCTTCAACAGCAGTTGATTCACGATTTCCTGCGTTGCATTCAGTACCCACCCAGCGCAAGTTGTTCATGGGCCTGTCCATGCAATGCGATGCGCCTGCCATCCTTGCGCCGTTGCCCAGTGAAGCGCAGCGCGCCCTGTGAAATCCACGGCCGACACGGAGGCCTGTGGTAGCTGTGGTAGCCGTCACATTCGCTGCACTTCACGTCTGGCCGGCTGGGCCTGGTGATCCAGCAAGCCTTAGCCATACTGGGGCTGGCTTTACCCCAGCACTGCACAGCTGTCAAGCTGTGGACCAAGCTTTCCACGATTTCGGTATGTCCACGGTGACCTTTCAGGTGCTACAAGTAGTGTGAAAGCCTCAAGAAGGCTAACCACTGTGGTGCATCGTGGTGCCTCACCTACCACGGCCCCACATGAGCTCTCTTCACCTCAAGGCTTCCCTCAAGTCTGCTGTCTGAGAACCAGGCAGGCATGTGACAGGGCCTAGGCTCCACTTGCCGACTCAGCGGTTATCAACCGAGGCAACTGACAACGCTGCAAGTTTATCCGTCGGTCACGTTCACTGATAGGTCTGCGGAGAGAGCCACAGAAGCGGTCGCAGCACATCATTTTACCGGATCGCGATTCGCAGCTGCTCCGTGAATCAAAGACCTGTCTGCATGCTTGCCTTGAAAGCCCCGGGCTTCCAAATATTCAGACTCGAGACTGAGAGTGCCGGATGTCGCAGGTAGCTGGAGCTGGTTTACTCGGCCTCGCAGACTAGGACGAGTCTCGCCCAGCAACCAATGATGACATATGTCACCACACGGTTCCTGTTTCGCAGGGCAATGTGATGAAGGCCATAAGAAGAAGATTTTCTACAGCATCTAGAAACAGTCAAGCGACACAGGGCGGTGCTGTACAAATCCTGTGCTGCTTGACCCTCACGCATGGAATCCGTGCAGGAAGGCTGCCGCAGAGTACCGCTCAGGTCAAGCGCAGGAAACGCAAGTACATCTTGGGTTCGCGCACAGTCACAACAGAATGTTTAATCGATGACAAGTACAAACACGGAAAATATGCTGACTATGGTGCTGCTACTGGAAACGTAGATTATTCAAAGAACTGTAAGCATCGAACGCGATGCTCAGCAATGCTGCGGTGAAAGGGCTGCAAGAATTTGACTGAAGTGCCCTTGGGTAGAAACTCTCAATATTTCCCATCTGCACAATTCAGGCGAAGAGAAGGAACATCCCTTGATCTTGGATCTGTGCGGACTATTTGTCCTTGGATCGTTTTCCAGCAAAGACTGCAAAGAAACCTGGCAGGGTGTTCAGGAATTGGCTCAAACAGAAGTTTTTTGCAAAGGCTCCACAGAGCAGCCTCTGTTCAGGAAGGGTTGCATGCGGCTGTGCTCGGAAACGCTCAACAAAGCTCACCCACCTGCCTGCCAACACTTTCACCTCAGCACTGCATGTGTTGGCGCCGGCCACAAACGATCGCGAGCTCGGGAAACATGTCTTGCTAGGAGTGACAAATGCACAACCATTGCGAAGCGGGTCAACGGCTAGTGGACCAAGCTGCTCCCCAGAAGAGGTTCATCACGTGCGGGAGTATCAGAGATTGGCACCAGAGCCATGCCAAATGGTGAATGCCATCAGGCTGCGCCTGCACACGAATAACACTGTCGATCCTGAGACTCTCCCATAGTTGTTTTGTCTGCTCGGAAGCACCATGGACGAGGCCAAAAATGAAGAGAGCCAACGGCAAGACAAATCTAAATGTCTCCATCCGCACCTCAGTCAACAAGCGCTGTGACCACGGAGGGGCGCGCCACATGGCTAGGATCTGTGGAATGGCACCCAGCATCCTTCCAGCGTTTTCAGAATCTGAACTGTTGTTTCAATGAGATACAAGAAAAACCAGGCCACCGCTGTCGATTCCAATCTGTCCTCAACCATACGAAAAGGCCGGTGAACAAGAGGCCAGTGACACTGTAAGCCACACTCCTCGGATCGTAACACCCAGAGACTGGGACAGAAGGCAAGTGGTGGCAAGAGGAAGCAGAAAGAACCAGCGGAGAGAGATGCTTCGCTCCTGTCTCTGCTGTGTTCGTGTGACAAAGATATTTGTGACGTTGAGCCGCTTCCACCAAGAACTCCTAGTAGAAGCTGCCCAGCCCTCCCCCGACAACCACAATTCCACGATCCTGATAGTGGCGATGGCTCTTCTTCTGGGGTCAAAGCAAACAGAAGCAAGGCTTGCTGGATAGGTGATGCGATAGGGGGTCAGGGTAGCGCCAGTGGCCCAGTGAGCGGATGCGAGCAGAGAGGGCCCAAAGGGGGCCGGCGTGTGCAAATCGTTCCGAGCCTCGTGGAGCTCCGTTCTTCGGGCCAAAGCCGACAAAGCAAGTTTTCTCTGCAAAGGAAGGGCAGGTGGCTTTGGTCGGGAAGTCGGGTTTTGAAGCAGGAACTGGATTAGTGAGTGTCCAACCACACAAACGAGCACACTTTTTGGTCTGAGCCCAAGACGTCTGTCGTACAGGGTGCGTTCAGAACTAACACAAAAACTACGCTCGCATGAGGACATGTCAACACGGCGCTTCAAGACAGGGAAATTTCACACCCTGAAGACTGAAAGTCCCCAGGCGGCTGCTCTTCTCACGCGTTTTCCATCAGCGAACTTCTGTGCTCACAGGTAACTACGGGGGACCTCGATAGGAAGTGCCGTCGGTACACATTAACAATGGATTGTGCATGTAGCTTTCCTGTACAAGCCCGGAATGCCCATTGAACTTTCTCACATCCGGGGGTTGACATGCACAAACGTCTAGGGCCTCTTTGAGGTCACAGACTTCACTGCTTCATCTTCAATCAATATGAAAGAACCCTCTTTAACCACCTTACGGAACAAGTTCATTGGTGCTCCTTTCTTGGTCAAGACATCAACGATCATCTGACTTGTAGCCATCCATCTCAGCTTGATGCCATACTGGTTGATGTCGCGCTTGAGCAGAAGCATTTCAATAGCCATACGCTTGTCCTTCAGAGACACAGTGGAGCTTCCAGCATGATCGAACACTGGTTTGCAGTCAATAACGGCCGTCAGTGGAATCGCATTGCTCCACTTGCCATCTTCTGCCAACTTGTAGTCGCTGTATACTGCTTCGCACCACATTGAACGAACCCAGCGTGCTTCTGCTAAGCCCCGAGATAGGGCCAACAGCTCAGCACCCAAGGTAGAATGCGTTTGACGATCCTGTTTGAAGCTCTTCCATCTCAAAATGGAGAAGGTTCCCCATTCGCCTCTTCCGAGGCGATCGTCAACACTCGCGATCATATATCCAGCTTGACTGCAGAAACCCTCGGCGTTAGCCCATGCAGCGTCTGTCAAGACACAAAACTGCATCTTCGCTACCGGAATCGGCTTAACCCATATGTAGGACCTGCTATAATCTCGAGCAAGGCTCACAAGCTTGTTCACTTCGATCAAATCGCAAACACAAGCACTGTTAACTTTCTGCTGCAAAAGCGAACACCAAGCAGCGAGATCTGGTCTGCTACTCGTGACAAGCCAGTTGATGCCACCAAGAGCCCCTCTCATCTCAGCTCTCTCAGACTCAGTCAAGCTCTGCTCTTTCTGCCGTCTCCTCTCATGCGCAATGTTCACACTTTGCAGACTAGATGCATATTGTTCTTGTGAGATTTTGATGCTCCCATCCGGTTGCTGTTCAAGCCACTTCCCAAGGAACTCGCCTTTGCCACATTTCCAATGCTTGAACGGAAACATCTGTTTGAGCTGCTGCTGCACATGCTGTTGGAAGTGTTTGTCACCACCCATGCACAGATCATCGACATGCAAGGCAATGACCCCACTTATCCTACCTTCATGATAGTAGTAGAACACGCAGGGATCAAACTCAGAAGCACGCATGCCTAAGCTACTCAACTTTTTGTTCAGACAATTCCACCACGCCTTCGGAGCGTCCGCCAGACCGTAGACAGTCTTAACTGCCTCAACTAGACACGACTCGTCGTATCCTTCGATTCCACCTGGCGGCAGATCTATGAACAGTCTTCCACGGTCAGGACTGAGATCATCTCCTCGAAGAAAGGCTCCCTCAACATCAGCAATGGTCAACTGCCAACCGAAGGTTGCCATGAGCTGCATCGCTATGGAGAACCCTTCCGACGACAGCGTAGGAGCACTGGTGTCCAGCTCAAGAAGATCTGGATCAAGATAGCCCCTTATACACCAACGAGCCTTGATGTCACTCGTGTTGGGACTGCTCCCCTCTTCGGCCTCTGTCAACACAAACCGCGATTTCAGTACACGCCGATGGGGAACTGATTTGCGTAGGCGCTCTGCCTCCTTGCCCCGATGGACAATGATGGCGCCGCTCTGCAATAGCTTGTTCCACTCCTTTAGCTTGGCACGCTTCAAACCCTCTTTGCGATCATCACGCAACTCACGCTCACACAACTCCTTCCTACCCTTCTTGGCAACACCAACTTCAAAGCAATCTCCTTGCAACTTCCTCCATTGCCAACCTGGTTTCAACTGGAAGACAGTCCTTCCTGTCCAACGAAACCCTCTCCTTTTTGACTCAGGATCACCCTTTTTCCACTCATACTCAACGGAACTCCTGCAACCCTGTCTGTCAAATCTCTCCGACCGACACACCTCCTCGACATCATGCTCACGCACTGGCAACTCACACGCATCCAGCACAAGGTCACGCTCACGCTCATCAACATGCAACCGAATCAGCAAGGACCTGTCATGATCAACAATCCATCGATCCTGACCAGTTGCCAAGGTAACCTCCAGCTCGTCCTCACCACTGTCATCTGGCACCGGAATCTCCGATACCTCAGCTGTTGTCCTCAACGGCCGAGCGCTCCCGGAGGCACCACTTCCTTGATCCAGTAACTCCAAGCTGTTTCGCATTGCTTGTCCAAGCTGACTCACGCTTTGATCCATTCTTGCACGCTTTGTCGGTGATTCATCACCATTGCCCTCTGTCCGTGGGTCTGCACGGCCGGCTTCAGCGCCTGCCGCTTCCTGATGTTCTTCTTCTTGACCAACCTGCATTTCACTATCCTCAAGCAACTCAGACCCTTCCAACAAGCCATGCGCCGCTTCTTCAGCATGTCTACTTTCACGCACAATTTCATCAACACGCCCAGCACTCTCCTCCGCAACAGGAGGACGATCAAGCATGCTCAAGTCATAGAAGTTGCCGGCACCTCGAGCACTGACTTCA